TGGATGGCGCCGGTTTTCATGGTTGGAATATATTATCGTCTCATATCGTCTCAAAAAAAGCAGCAAAATGGCATGCAACATCATGCAACCATCAATCAATAGGGGGCTTGGTAGATACCCTAGCTTCAAAGCCCACGTGTTTCCATAGGTTTCCTGTAGAATGTCTCCAAGCATGGAAGCAAGTGGCAAGAGTCTCGCCACCAGCTGAGCAGCACCCTCTTGTGCTGCATACTGCAGAGCAGTGGCACCATTGTCATCGGCGGAATCAAAATCTGCTTGAGCCAGTAGTAGCTGGTCCACAATCTGCACATGGCCATGCAAGGAAGCCACATGCAGTGGCGTAAGCCCATCTTCCATTCGTTGATTCTTCTCCACCCCAGCTTCCAGCAAACATTGGAGGATCCTGGGGGCTGAGCAGCTCAAGAAGAAGCTGGCATAGTGGCAGTGGAACAATCAAAAACTAGAGTCAGGTAAAGAATTCCACGTCGCTTGATATTTCTGGCATACCTACTCTACACAACGATTACTACAAGACTTCCAACAAAACCCCAGGTGGTGCCTTATAAGTTGGTTTAAAACACCCATTCCCTGTAGATATAGCTGCCCAGGCTCTGACAGTGGCCGTGCTGCGCAGCAAGGTGCAAAGGACTCGACCCGTTTGATCCCTTCTTCTGCTTGTCCGCCCGGGCTTGCAACAAACATCGGACCTGGCGCCCGGGAAGCGGGCAACAGCCTGTTGGTACCTCAAAATCGCCACTTCTAATAGCAAAACCAGCGCACTGGGCACCCCGAAGCAACCGCTACTGTGTTGTTTTTTTGGGTGTTCATTTATCTTAAGAATCTCAGGTGGGATCAACCCATCCCCCAAATAGAAGAAACACACGTTTACATCCTTTTACAATCAATGGGAACATATGGGAACATCATCACAGGTAGGATTGAATATATAAACATACATAGAGTATCATAGAGTATCATATCTATCGTTTAATCCCACCAGCTGGTCATGGCTGCAACTCACACCCAAGCGACGATTTGTTGATGCCCAGCGCGCACTGCCATGTGAAATGCAGTGATTCCATCCTTCGCAACCTGCCATGGTGCGTCCCAAAAGTGGGTGTCGTTGGGTGGTCTTGTAACCTTATCCCCAGGCCCATAACATGCTGCTTCCACAACATTTCACCCCAGGTCCCCAGTTCCGAGGTCGTCCCCGCTCCCGGCCATGGGCCCCGCAACCGACTGCACCTCGTCCTTGGAAGCCCCAGCACTTAAAAGGCCCTGCACCACCTGCAGGTGGCCCTTGCTGGTGGCGATGTGCAGAGGCGTCAAGCCATCCTGGGCGCATTTACTTCCAAATCACTTGAAAAGGTGGGCTTGGAGGCTTGGAAGATGATTTTCAGCGAATTTCATGGTGGTGATTTTATGTTCTGTGTACCAGTGCTGGTAGGTTCCATGCTGTCTTTAACTACCATCATTGCAACGGCCGATCCGATCTGTCAGCGGAGCATCTGCATCGCTCTTGTTCAAATCCACTCTGGCAGACAACAAGCGCAGCAGGACACCCAAATGTCCCTCACAGGCAGCCAACCAGCCTTAGATTTGTCCAAGGGCCCTCGAAACATGGCCATGAGATGAAAGGCTCTGGCTGGATCAAAATTGTGTCCGGATCGCAATCTTTGGATTTAGGGTCTGGATGGTGGATCTGTCGGCCCTCACGCCCCAGATCTTCCAGTTCATCTCAGTAGATACCCAAAAAAATCACAAAATGGTATGCTCAGGAGTATGCTTACCATGCCTACTAGCAGGACATCCAAATACGAAGAAAATATCTAAGAAACATGACTCCAAATGCTGAATTTCCCCGTTGAAAAAAACATCATTAGCTTCGAAAAACTATAGTTAAAGAAACGATCAAGACCTCATTGACTCATTGCACGTACCTTGGAAATCAAAAAAACGTTAAAATCATTAGCATCAGAAAGAACCAGAAGAATCCTTGCCTCAAAATCCAAGAAGCAAGGTGTCGCCCCGCCCTTGGTGCTCCGATTCTTGCTGGCGCCCGCATCCAACAAACATTCGCTGATGCGAATGCACCCCGCGGATGCGGCACAGTGCAGCGCTTGCCGGCCGTCCTGTGGGTGATCTCAAACCGACTATGGACGATGTCTTAAGATTTCACAAGCACAAGCACCAATGTAGATTTGCTTGCTCATGTTGCATGTATAGGCAGTGATATATTTTATATTATCTCCATTGTTGAATTTTGTTGATTACATGTTGAAAACATCCTGGCAACTACTAGCTAGGGACCCTAGGGATTTTCATTGTAGACCCTCCTGGTGGGGTCTGACATGGGGTCTGGAATGAAAAACCCTAGGCGTTAACAAAAGTTGCCTGCAAACATCTCAGGCCCTTGCATAGGGACCTGGAACAACTACTATGAGCGAACAGCATGCACAAGGTAACTTCATTGTAGACCCTTCCCCAGTGTGACATCCTGATACATCCTGGAAACCCAGCAGTCCAGCACAGCAGGGTTGATGGGAAGCCTTCAGATTCTAGTGGTCCAACTCTCAGATGGCAGGATGGCACAATTTTCACCAGTGATGTCTTTTCTCTTAAGACAGCAGTCAAGTGGTTGAGACATGTTGAGACATGTTGATACCAGTTTGAGTTCTCGGTGGCCACATGTTCTGAATGATTTTTCATGGAGTTGAAGGGTCTGAAATGGTGTTACCCAAGATGTCAGGCATGGTTTCAACCTTGATGGCTCAGGAAACACCATGTCAGACCCTCACATGTAATGCACGCCCCAACTTCAGGTGATGGGAAGCCTTCAGATTCCAGTAGTCCAACTCCCAGATGGCAAGGTGGCAACATGGAAGTTGCAACAATTTTCACCAGCCATGTCTTTTCTCTTAAGACAGCAGTCATGTGGTTGAGACATGTTGATACAAGTTTGAGTTCTCGGTGGCCACATGTTCTGAGTGAGTTTTCGTGGAGTTGAAGGGTCTGAAATGGTGTTACCCAAGATGTCAGGCATGGTTTCAACCTTGATGGCTCAGGAAACACCATGTCAGACCCTCACATGTAATGCACGCCCCAACTTCAGGTGATGGGAAGCCTTCAGATTCTAGTGGTCCAACTCCCAGATGGCAAGGTTGCAAAATGGGAAGTTGCAACGATTTTCACCAGCGATGTCTTTTCTCTTAAGACAGCAGTCATGTGGTTGAGACATGTTGAGACATGTTGATACCAGTTTGAGTTCTCGGTGGCCACATGTTCTGAATGATTTTTCATCCTTTACATCCCTTCACAGGGTCTAACATAAAGTTCTGCATGACTTAGATAGTCCAAAAGGTCTAGACTGAATTTCCTTCTCTGCTTCCAAGGGTCTGACATGGTATCGGGATAGGGTCTAAACTGAATTCAAGGCATGTCAGACCTTTTGGAAAATGGACCCTAGGTAGACCATGTTAGACCCTCTAGTAGTTGAGAGTATTTGAAAACAATATAAAACAATATACCCCTATAATAGCGCAACCGTTGCCTCCCATTTCGCTCAGCTTAAGCCCTGGGAGATGGTCACCAATGGTCACCCTCCTGTGATCCCTGAGTATGATCTGCAGATGCTTGGAGGAGGCTTTGCACAACCTGGCAACTGGTCATCAGCCGATAGGTTCAAATGAAAATCCACCGGATACATACACTCTCTCTCTCTCTCTCAGTGTTTTCATGCGTTTTCTGTATCCAGAAAGGAACCAGCCTATCACCCCAAGGGTCTCGGGATCTGCTATCTACATGATCTACGCTTGACATCCCACTCTTGTTGGGGATCCTGCCGCCAAGCCAGACCCACAAATGCCTCCAGGTGCCCACATTCTGCTGCGGCGTGCAACGGCGTCAGTCCAACATTACATGGCGCGCACACCTCGAGCGAAGACGGGCCCGCGACTGAAGCGCAGTCAAAGATGTCAAAGACTTGGTTCCTGCCTGTCATCTTCTGCAAAACTGAAGTTTGACACTTCTCAACTTGCAAACCATCATTAACCATCATTTTCCTATGGTTTTCCTATGGTTTTCCTATGGTTTTCCCATATAAATATTTTTCCAAGCCGTCCAAGCCACGTTGGCTGCGGCGTCGATCAAGCCCTGCACGGCACCGAAGTGCCCACACTTCGCCGCCACGTGCAGCGCGGTGACGCCCAAGGCGTCTGACAGGTCGATGCTAGCTGAGGCGTCCAACAGCGCCTGGCAGGGCATGTGAACGTAAGCATCAAACTAGATCAAACTAGTGGGTTTATGTGGGTTTGGGGTTTCTGGGCCATGAAGTTTGCGGATTTAACATGATTTAACAAGAAGAAATTTAAAGGCAACCCAACAAAGTGAAAACCTACGCGATGTTTTAACACGAAGTTTTGACGCGAATTAACCGTGAACTGTCAAACAGGGGGTGGTAAACCAAGCAATTGGGAAGCATCAAAGTAGTGGATTTCTCAATGACCATAGGATCATATGGGTAGACGAACTAGTGAAGAGTGCGCATGTAGAAGACATCCCCAAGTTATAAGAAATGGTTGGTAAAAGTCGACCCAATTGAAGGTTCATGACTGGGTTCACCACATTACGATTGGAGGGACCTAACATGTCTAAGTTCTTTGTAAGGCAGGGGATAGAGGAAGCACCAATGGCTCAGCACCATTGATTCCTGAATTTTTCATGCATCCAAAATGCCCAAATTTTAACCGGGGGAAGCTCACGGATTCACCAGGAATGGGGAGAACTTGGTGGTTTCAACCCTAATTTCAACATATTTCAACTATATAAATTGGCTCGAATCATCTCACTTTCAGGAACCGGAACGTAGGATTGTAACTTGCAGCTTCAACAAGTTAGACCCTAAAATACCCCAAAACAAAACAAACAGAAGCATACTAAAAGTAAATATTATCCACAAAAACAACACACATTCCCAAGCAAAAAAGTGATCTGGAAGCAAATATCTGAAGACATGAACGATATCCACATGGCCATATTGCGCCGCGATGAAGATGGCTGGAGCGCTGCCAGGACCTACCTACCGGATTGCGGGGCACGGTCACACAATAGGTCCAGTACCAAACCAGGATTGCTGGGGATTTAATCTTTAGGAGAGATCATTGTTCATCAAGTTCATCAAGTTCATCAAGTTCATCAAGTTCATCAAGTTCATCAAGACACATGAGTTGCATGATGAACTGATCGCCATCCCATGACAATCATGACATGAACATGCATCAACCAATGCTTAATTACACAGATTTATATGGTTCAACCATGTCCAACCTCTTATATCCTCTTATTAGGTTGAGATCCCCCATCCCATGAACCAATGGTTGACCGGTTGAAAAACTGTTGTGCTTTGGCCCCGAGGATATCCCGATGGTTTTCCAAGCCGTCACATGGACCAGAACCGACACTTCATATCGGTGCAGACAACTGATATGAGAGCTGGAACCTGGCAACCTGATTCCGCAGAAACAACCCTATAGGTCAGGCAAGGTTATTTGGAGCAAAATAGGTAAAAGTGATTTTGGAGGCAATTTTCTAACTAATAGTTTATTTTTAAGGAAACAAAAATAGTTAATTTTTTTTAACTACATAGTTAATTTTTAAGGGTCCATTTCAAGGTAATTTTTGGGGTTTAAAAAAATACCTTCAAAATTTACCTTGAAATTTTGCATTTTTTGCATGGAAAAAAAGATAATGAATTTCGACATTTTCTTAACATTGTACCATAGTAAAGTGAACATTATCAATTGCTTGAAAGGTATTTTAACAATATGTTTCTTGATTTTGTGTGAAGTCAGTCCTACATGATTACTGGAAGTGCAAAAAACTATATTGTTTGAACTTATACTTGTTTGAGCAAATCAAAGTTTTTATTTGTGAAGATCAAATCTGATTGGATGTTTTGAAGATATGTTATACAACATCAAAGCTACAATGAAGTAACCCCAAGCATACATTCTGTCTTTGAAAGCTCGGTGAGGACATCCATCAAAGTATAATTGAGTTTTTGGTCTTTCTTGTCAAAAAAAGATTTTGACAGCCGGTCTTTGACAATCTCTGCCCAGTCGCTCCTGGGAGCACTTGCCCTGCTCAGTTTCACAGGAGCATCACAAATCGCTTTTGGCAATGCTGAGGATGAAGTAACCACAGCTGGTGTAGAGGAAGCACTGCTACCACAACTACCACTACCACTACCACCACAACTAGCTCCAGTGCCAAGCTGGCTCCAGGGCCTGCTCGACATGAATTGACTCATCTGCGAATAACTCATCCTTGGTGATGTTGGCTTGGCCACCATGCAAGACCATGGAACTGCCCTGCTTCTTCTCAATGGCTGTGGCTATTGTCCTGACATGATAGTAACCATCTTTCTGATAGACATCACCTCGTCTTTCTGCTCATTCAAAGCTTGCTGGTTTCACTGGGTTTTTTCCACGGCATGATGGAGTGAGGCAACCCAGTAACCTGAGATTTGTTGGTGCAAATCTCAAAGTTCTTCTTGAAAACCTCGCACTGGGTATTTCCAGGAGCAAAAGCAAACTCGCCACTGGTGTTCTGCTGAAAGACTTTGTTGATGAATTGACTCTTAAATAACCTTGGGGGAGGAGAATTCTTGGAGCCCTCTTCATAGAGCTGCTGAAGATCTTCTGGCACCTGACCACTTTTGATCATTCTGGCACATTTCCTTACCTTGGGGTAGCTTCGATGCTCATCATCAGCAACTGTTGCATCCTCCTCTTTAGGCTCCTCATCTTCTCCTTCTGCATGGTCATCAGGAACTGGCTCATCCCTGGTCTTCTTCCATCCTGCTGCCATCTCCTTGGCAGTCTTCGCTTTGGCCTTGGCTTTCGCCTTCAGCTGCATCAGGTCTTTTCAGGATTTTCTTCATTGTGCTCTTGGCTTTTGCCTTTTGAGCTTTCATTGGCGAAGAAGTAACCCCAGGAGCTTTGCTGGCAGCAGCCTTGGCTTTACCTGCTGCCTTTGCCTTGACTTTAGATTTTGCTTTCACCTTGGCTTTGGCCTTTGCCTTGGGTGCTGCAGTATCTAAGAATCTAAGTCAGCTCATGGGGCAGCTTCTTCTGGAGAAGCCTGTTCTACAGATTCTGGTGCTGGTTCAGGTGGAGGCAAAAAGCAAGCATAGCATCAGGTTACCAACAGGGGCGACAAGTGACAAGTAACTTCAATCTTGAGCACCAGTGTGCTACATGGATGGTAAATGCACTTGTACACTTGACATATTTCCCAACCTTTCACCAAAAAAGTAGCCCACATACCAAAGACCTCGTGCATGTATCAACCAACCATTGTGCTATTTATCATTCACAAAAGGTGCTGCATGAGATTTTCTTATTTTTGGATGGTAATATGTTTTTGTGAAATGAATATTTGTCCTATGCATGCAATAGTGGAAAACAATACTTAAAGATATGCTGCGACTTTAAGAAGTGGTTCGTGTTCAAAAACATTAACAAGATAAACAAATATATAATTAGAAAAATAAAACACATATATATATATATAAAGCATGAATAACAAAAAACAATAAATGAACAAATAAATAATAATATATATATACAGTATGTATATATATATATATGTATTCAATCAATAACCAGTGGTGGTATATGTGGCAAACAAAAACATATTACAGTTTCAGTATTGTACATGTGGCTTTTTGTTTTATTTATGTATGTTCACCTAATGTAATTGCTCTTGTCCTAGGTTTTTTTTGAAACTTTAAGGCATAATGTACCCAAATACTAATGTAGAGATATATGTGTATTCATTTGGTGTGGTGTTATTGGTTGGCTTGGGGTTACAGTTTTGCAAACCAAACCCATTGCATGCCAACCAACCCTATTAGGTACTTTGTAAAATGAAAGGTGCTTTAAACCCCCTTAAGGTACCTTTTTTATTTTTAGCAAAATAAAACAAAAAATAAAAATTGGAATGCCCCAAAAATGTGTAATGAAAATATTTGATTATAGTTTCTGTATTGTACATGTGTTTTTTCTTTTCTTATTTATGTATGTTCACCTAATGTAATTGCTCTTGCCCTATGTTTTTTTGATGACACTTTAAGGCATAATGTGACATAATGTACCCACATACTAATGTGGAGGTATATGTGTATTCATGTGGTGTGGGGTTATTATTTGGCTTGGGGCTACTGTTTTCAAACAAAACCCATTGCATGCCAACCAACCCTATTAGGTACTTTGTAAAATAAAAAGGTGCTTTAAGCCCCCTTAAGGTACCTTTTCATTTTTTTGGGAAATCACAAAACAAATAGACATATAGATGTCTCAAAATGCCTAAGGCAAATGTTTGATTACAGTTTCAGTATTGTACATGTGTTTGTTGATGTATTATTTATGTATGTTCACCTAATGTAGTTGCTCTTGTCCTAGGATTTTTTGATGCAACTTCAATACATAATGTACCCAAATACTACTGTGGATATATATATATATGTGTATTCATTTGGTTTGGGGTTATAATTTGGTTTGGGGTTACTGCATTGCAAACCAAAACCAACGCATGACAACCAAACCATGTTTTGGGTTACTTTTTAAAACACATTTAGACATGGTGGGTGTAACATGTCAAAACAATTTGCACAATAAACAACCACTGTTTGGTTTTGTTTAATGAGAAAAACACTTACAAAGAATAGTAATCCATATTTGGGGTTACTTCTTTTAAAATGATCCCAGCAATAGATCCCTATGTTGTTTTTATTTTTTTCAACCAGTAACATACATGAAACCTATTTAAAAAAAATGAAATGAAAACTCATTTTTTTGAAACAAACAAACATGGTTTTCAAGAAAATAAACACTATTTTTTTAAGAAAAAACAAGTTTTCTCTATATTTTTTGTTTACTGCCCTGAAAGTTTGTTGAAAGTTTGTTGCAAACTTTCAGTCAAACTTTCAGGGGGGGTTGCAAGTTTGACTGAAACTTTCAATGCAAACTTGCAGGGCTGGATTGAAAGTTTCAATGCAAACTTTCAAGGCTGGATTGAAAGTTTAAAGAAACTTGCAGGGCTACACTGAAAGTTTGCATGAAAGTTTCAATCCAGCCCTGCAAGTTTGCATTGAAAGTTTCAGTCAAACTTGCAACCCCCCCTGAAAGTTTGACTGAAAGTTTGCAACAAACTTTCAACAAACTTTCAACAAACTTTCAACAAACTTTCAGGGCAGTAAACAAAAAATATAGAGAAAACTTGTTTTTTCTTAAAAAAATAGTGTTTATTTTCTTGAAAACCATGTTTGTTTGTTTCAAAAAAATGAGTTTTTCATTTCAATTTTGTTTTTTTTAAATAGGTTTCATGTATGCTACTGGTTGAAAAAAATAAAAACAACATAGGGATCTATTGCTGGGATCATTTAAAAGAAGTAACCCCAAATATGGATTACTATTCTTTGTAAGTGTTTTTCTCATTTAAAAAAATCAAATAAAAAACGAAGGTTATTGTTGCCTGGTGTTTAGATAAACATGTAGTACCAACCATGGTTTGTGTTTGATTGAATGCTGTGTGTTTCCAAAATAGAAACCCCAAACATAGGTTGGTTGTCATGCAAGGGTTTTGGTTTGCAATGCAGTAACCCCAAACCAAATTATAACCCCACACCAAATGAATACACACATATATACATATATACCTCCACATCAGTATTTGGGCACATGATGTCTTGAAGTTGCATCAAACAAATCCTAGGACAAGAGCAACTAAATTAGGTGAACATACATTAAAAAAACACCAACAAACACATGTACAATACTGAAATTGTAATCAAACATTTGCCTTAGACATTTTGCGACATCTATATGTTTATTTGTTTTTTTTCCCAAAAATGAAAAGGTACCTTAGGGGGGCTTAAAGCACCGTTTTATTTTACAAAGTACCTAATAGGGTTGGTTGGCATGCAATGGGTTTTGTTTGAAAACAGTAGCCCCAAGCCAAATAATAACCCCACACCACATGAATACACATATACCTCCACATTAGTATGTGGGTACATTATGTCACATTATGCCTTAAAGTGTCCTCAAAAAAACATAGGGCAAGAGCAATTACATTAGGTGAACATACATAAATAAGAAAAGAAAAAACACATGTACAATACAGAAACTATAATCAGATATTTGCACTAGACATTTTTGACACATTCCCATTTTTATTTTTTGTTTTATTTTGCAAAAAGAAAAGGACCTGAAGGGGGGCTTAAAGCACCTTTCATTTTACAAGGTACCTTATAGGGTTGGTTGGCATGCAATGGGTGTGGTTTGCAAAACTGTAACCCCAAGCCAACTAATGACTAATAACACCACACCACCTGAATACATGCGTATTAATGCATACATATATATATATATTTAAATATATATATATATAGACAGTCATATTTAGGCACATTACGTCTTAGAGTTTCATCAAAATAATCATAGGACAAGAGCAGCACATAAATAACAAAACAAACAAGATATGTACAATACTGAAATTGCAATAAAATAATTGCTCTAGACATTTTGAGACATCTCCATTTCTATTTCTTTAATGTTTTATTTTTCCAAAAAATGAAAGGTACCTTAAGATGGCTTAAAGCACCTTTCATTTTCCTAGGTACCATTGTGGAACCAGTTTTTGAACATGTTAGGCTTCGGTTTCGGGAACCAATTTTCAGACGTTTTGAGACATCTCCAGTTCTACTTTTTTAAGTTTTGTTCAATGAAAATGAAAAAGCCATGCAACATCCATTGTGAAGTATAGATATCACATTTGTTGGTTGATACATTCACAAGGTCTTTGGTATTTCTGTTGTAAGCTTTTCTGACATCATCATGGGCAAAACATGTTCTTCATGGAGTTACTTTTGGTGAAAGGCTGGAATTTACGTCAAGTGTACACTTAGGGATGTCTCAAAATAGGGGTGCCCCAAAGCTCTGTTTTGCACACTAAAAAACAAGGGCTTGGGGCCCCCTATTTTGAGACATCCCCAATTGCATATACCATCTGTGTAGCACACTGGTGCTCAAGATTGAAGTTACTTGTCACTTGTCGCCCCTGTTGGTAACCTCATGAAGAGGCCTGCTTGTCCACCTGATGCTATGCTTGCATGTTGCCTCCACCTGATCCAGCACCAGAATCTGTAGAACAGGCTTCTCCAGAAGAAACTGCCCCATGAGCTGACTTAGATTCTTAGATACTGCAGCACCAAAGGCAGAGGCCAAAGCCTAGGTGAAAGCAAAATCTAAAGTCAAGGCAAAGGCAGCAGGTAAAGCCAAGGCTGCTGCCAGCAAAGCTCCTGGGGTTACTTCTTCGCCAATGAAAGCTCAAAAGGCAAAAGCCAAGAGCACAATGAAGAAAATCCTGAAAAGACCTGATGCAGCTGAAGGCGAAAGCCAAGGCCAAAGCGAAGACTGCCAAGGAGATGGCAGCAGGATGGAAGAAGACCAGGGATGAGCCAGTTCCTGATGACCATGCAGAAGGAGAAGATGAGGAGCCTAAAGAGGAGGATGCAACAGTTGCTGATGATGAGCATCGAAGCTACCCCAAGGTAAGGAAATGTGCCAGAATGATCAAAAGTGGCCAGGTGCCAGAAGATCTTCAGCAGCTCTATGAAGAAGAGGGCTCCAAGAATTCTCTTGAACACCAGAGGCGAGTCTGTGTTTGCTCCTGGAAATACCCAGCGTTCGAAGTTTTCAAGAAGAACTCTGAGATTTGCAACAAATATCAGATTACTGGGTTGGCTTAGGTTGTGGACAAAATCCAGGGAAACCAGCAAGCTTTGAATGATGCAGGAAGACGAGGTGATGTCTATCAGAAAGATGGTTACTATCATGTCAGGACAATAGCCACAGCCATTGTGCCCTGCCATGGTCTTGCATGGTGGCCAAGCCAACCTCACCAAGGATGAGAGTTCGCAGGTGAGTCAATTCATGTCGGAGCCAGTTTGGCACTGGAGCTAGTTGTGGTGGTAGTGGTGGTTGTGGTAGTGGTAGCAGTGCTTCCTCTACACCAGCTGTGGTTACTTCATCCTCAGCATTGCCAAAAGCGATTTGTGATGCTCCTGTTAAACTGAGCTGGGCAAGTGTGCAGCATGACATCAAAGAAACCAAAGTGGTTCAGGAGCGACTGGGTAGAGACAAGAAAGACCAAAAACTCAATGATACTTTGAAGGATGCCCTCACTGAGCTTTCAAAGACAGAATGCATGCTTGGACAATGCTTCATGGCCAAGTATGACTGGTTCATTATTGCCATAATCTTGTTTCATGCCTTTTCTGACTTTTCCTCATTTTTGCCATGCTGTTGTTTCATAAATTTTGTCAGTGACACAAACACTACCCATGATCAAATCATTTGATCCAATCCAAGTGCCAAGGGAAAAACATGAGACCCTGTCAAAATACATGAAATAAACCCATGCACATATGTCAGCAGCACGTATATAGTAACCCCAAGAGAACATCAGACACATACCATATAACAAAAGAAAATAAATAAATATATATGTAAAAACGAAGTGAAAAAACATAACCCTTAAAAATTACCTTGAAAAAGGTTCTCAATAATTACCTTCAAAGGTAATTTTTTTTTAACTAATAGTTAAAAAAAATCGACCAAAATTATCTTCAAAAAGGTAATTTTTTTGGAGTTACCTATTTTGCTCCAAATAACCTTGCCTGACCTATAGGGAAGCATACCGATGATAGTTATAATTATATATAATTCTATATATATATACATTAAACAATAAAGTATAAAATCCAACTGAAAGAGTTACGAATTATGAACTCCGTTTCTATCTTTTGGATTCTTTTTGGGGGTTGCTATAGCAAGTTTTTCCGGGGTGGCCAAGCAGCCTGGTTCACGTTGCAGTGAGCTCGGATCAAGCAATGGACCACCTGTATCGGTCTGGTGGTGAACCGCTGGAACCACCAAGCGCTTCGATTTGTTGATTCGTATCTCTATACAAGCTGATTCAATTTGTCAGATGCCCCTCGGCATAATTCCAATATATTCATATATTCCAATTCATAGGGCTGTAAATTGTTGATAGAAGATGCATGAAGATGCCACCAAAGCCAATGGCTTTCGAATATGTTCATGAACTGAGACACCCCTTCAGCCACAACTTGATCGCCGCATTCGCCTGGTGGTGGCCCTTTTGCGCGGCCAAACACAATGGTGGAGGTTGTTCCCGCCGCACTGCAGCGACACCAGCATCTAGCAGGGTAATAACCACCTGCGAGGCACAGCATGGCGCAGGTCAGATGAGTTCAATGAATCGGTGGAACCCCTCTGGAAATTTTAGACCTGCATAGCATAGACCTGCGTTTGCAAGAGGAAAATCGATTCTAAACATATAAATGAAGGATTCGCTATTTCCATGACTGTTTGCCAGAGCAGTGACCGAACATTTCAGACACTGCAATCATACAGTGTCCAAGATATATCGCAGACCAGTTCCATCCATATCTGGGCCTAACATACCACCGAGAATGTTAATAATCGACAGCTGGAAGAGATAGTCAGTGAAAGCCTTCAAGTATCTTCAAGTATCTTCAAGTGACATGTCCAGTTTCTTGGGTTCCGAAGCATTTTTCCCTTGCCACAGTGTGTTTTCCATACCTTCTGGTGGAGAATTGACATGTCAAAATCGTCGACTTTTCATGGAGATTTTACACGACTACAGGGTAATGCACGTCAAAAACATCACTTTGTGGAGGTTCAACAAATGTTAGCAATTCCAAAAGGTCATGTTTATGCAGAAAATATCGAGACCCCTGTCCCCAATACAAAAACCACCTGTTTGCATTCCATTTGATAACTAGATGATGTTCCTGTCAAATTAAGATAGGTTGAGATACTGTATCATTACAATTCCCATTGCCATATGTTTTTGCCAACGGATAGATCTCAATTTTCTCCCGGTGAAGTCACCACATGTTTATTGGCTACGGTACCCTCTGGTAATTTAACCTACGGAAGATTGCCCATTTAGTTCGATAATGTACCTATCAAAAATTGCGCTTTCCATAGCAAGCCTTCAAATGACCAGAGGGAACCCATTATACTTATATTATCTTACATTTATATACATTTATTTTTCATCCCTGCCACTATATCACCATAAATCGTATCGTCTTGACGTGTACCCGGTATACCTCATCTGCCTCACCTCTGCATGTCCCTTCTGAGCCGCCAAGGACAGAGCCGTTGATCCATCCTCACGTGACCTTGGCGACTTGGTCCAAATTTTGGGAGTCGGACTCGCTTTGGGCATCCAATTTCTCGCATATATTATATCATATATATATAATTATATATATGGCAGTGTGTCAAAACCTTGTACCCCTGGTGAACATCAAAATAGCTGGTAAATGGATGTCCATGCCATTAAAAATGGTATCTATAGGTATTGACCCATACCCATATCATATATATATATATACACAGTCATATATAATTGTATATAACAGAAGTGTACATAGTTTGCATTCAGTTGAACCTCCAGATTTGAGGGATGAGATCTCAAGATCTTTCAAAGATCACAGCTGACGCAGTTTCACCAGGTGACCGCTCTGCGTTGGCCTTCGCCTGCAGTAGGAATGAGGTGACATCCCTGTTCCCCCTGCGGCACGCCACCAGGAGTGGTGTGGCTCCAGTAAGGGTGGCTGCTTCCAGGTTGGCGCGGGCAGTGACCAGGGATTGAACCTGGAACAGCCATGGGCGAATTTTCCGAAGAAAATCATCAGATTGGATGAAAATTGGTGATTTGTCCGTCGCCAAAGGCTGCAACTAGATGCAATGAGTACATGATCTCAAATCAAAAGGCAGTTTCCTGTATCATGATATTATCCAACATAAATCTAAGAAATCACCAAGGATCGCTTTCAACAAACAAGTTGAAAGCGCGCCATTGAACTGAGGAGCGATGCAAAGGTTGCCATGCTCGGCAGCTGTGTACAAGGGTGTAATCCCTTGGTGATCTCCCTTGTCCATGTCAGCAGATGCATCCAGCAAGGAGTGCAGGATGTCTAGATGCCCATTCCTGGAGTGGGCTAGGATTTCTGAGAGCCGAACATGCCATGCATTTTGTTTCGCCATCAACTGGGTTGAGCTTCATGAAACCTTGGTTTCTTGAGCCTTTCGAGGAGAACTACATTTGACTTATGAGGGCATTTGATCAATTTTGGAGATTCCTCGAGCTTTTGCAGGTGAAATTGAAAGGCACCCATCAGGTATGTATGATATTATGATATATATATATATATATATTATGTCATGTTTCCTTGGTTATATGATAGAAAATTGTCCCGGCAGATTGGAATTCACTGAAAAATATCAAGCTGAGGCCTGCGAGGCCAGAAATTTCGCCTCCAAATTGGTTGAAGACTTTTTGGCAGGACGCCGGCTACATATTTTCTGGTTTATCCATGTAAAAACCTTGGGTTTCCATAGGTTTCCGGTGCCCTTCAATGAATCCATTGATAGCTGAGATCATTCAAGAAGCTGAGCTGAGATGTGAAGAGCCGTGGCCCCACCGCTCTCTGCAAGATCTGTGTTGGCGCTGGCATCCAACAAGTGGCAAACGACCTGCCCATATGGAAAATGGCCATTTATGGTTGATTTACCTAGTAAAAATTATGGTGATTTTCCAGAGGGTAATCTATTTCAGCTAAAAGTGAATCATGAATCATCCATCTTTTGGTCCCCTGAGTTTACATTTTGACTCATGACTCATGTCTTATCCTATCTTTGCCATGCTATAGTCACCCTTAGGGCCAGTGGTATCCCAGCAGTATGGCTCCTCTCGTAGGGCCCCAAAAAGCTCACCGCATGATGGTAAAAGAATCCTTTCGTGCTTCAGATGTTCCCTTAAATCATCCTAAATCATCCTACCCTCTGGTAAACTAACATAGCTATGGAAAATCAACATGTTTAATGGGAAAATCCACTATAAATCACCATGTTTAATAGCTATGTTTGTTTCCCAGAGAGTAAATCATCCTAAATCCATACATTGAAAAAAACCAGGCGCACCAGACTCCAGGCCGCCAGAACACACAGACCCTCACCTCAGCATGGTTTTCCTGTGCTGCAATGTACAAAGGCGACGTTCCGATGTCCTGGGCGCATTTGTTGCGTGGCAAGGGCACTTGGCCAGTAACCCTGCTGAGGCAGCAGCAGGATTCAAATAGACCCTATAGTATTCTATAGTATCCTATAGTATTCTATAGTATTCTATAGTCTGAAGGCATCTGAACACGGTATTTTTTGTTTGGATCTGGGTGAACTCGCCGTTCAGCACCCATGTTTCAATGATTGCCGGGATGCTGGGCGATGCTGGGCTTCCATTTTTGACGTGATTAAACAAACCAATGGAACCCACAACTTCTATATCTTCTACATTGATTCTACATGGTGCAACGTTTTTTTTTCCGTAAATGTTCCCACAAGTCCAGCTACTTCATCCATCTTCATCCAAGTTCCATAAATATGTTTATTGTCATGAACATGTCATGAATGTCCCTGATGTTAGTGTTTAATCATCTTCCCATCCACCCCACTTGGAGGATGACCCGGTTATGACCCGGTAAAACCATCAAGAAATGGGAAAGTTATACCATGGTTATTATCATCTTATCCACCATCGCCAAATGGGATGTGAACCTTTGAAAATTGTGTGGTTATATGTGGTTATTACAATTGATTTTTTGTACCATTTATTATATATATAACACTGCGAAAGAACATATCGATTATCAACCATTTTTCTGTGTTTCTCTGAAAATAGGGCCAATTCCAATTCCAATTCCAATGGATCCTGATTTTCCCCCTTTTTTTAAGTATCGGATTTTCCATCAGAAACATCTATTCAATAAATATCTATACGTGGAGATTGGAGATTCTCCATTGGCCAACATGAAAGATGATCCCAGCAGATCCCAAGTCTCCGTGCACGTGTTGCAGTCCGCCATGGCCTTGAGCAACGTCACCACGGCTTCGCCATGTCCGCTCTGTGCGGCGATGTACAAAGGCGTCACCAGGTGGCTCCGGGCCTCGGGATGGCACGCACATACACTTCAGATGTCACATGATGTCACATATGTATATATATGCATATATATATATACAGTATATATATACTGTATATACTGTATATATATGTAAATATATACTATATATATATATATATACGGCAAATGCCTGGGCTTTGCCCGGAACCGCAATGACGACAAACGACGCATCATCATCATCATCATCATCATCATCATCATCATAATTAAACCCTTATTGAAGATCTTCAATGAATGTAGAAGTTTAACGGGGGTGGGAGAATTAAACCCTTATTGAAGATCTTCAATGCATGTCAAAGTTTAACGGTGGTGGGAGTTTAATATTACCTAGTACCTTTATTGATCTTCCCAATTGAA